GGACCCCCAAGGTGGGAACCACTGCTATAGAGAGCTGGTAATCATGATGACGATACTAATTCTAGAAAGTCCATAAAATGAGTCTTAAATACCTGAAAGTTCATAAAATGACTCTTAAATACCTAGAAAGTTCATAAAACGAGTCCTAGAATACCTAGAAAGTTCATAAAACGAGTCCTAGAATACCTAGAAAGTTCATAAAACGAGTTCTAGAATACCTAGAAAGTTCATAAAACGAGTTCTAGAATACCTAGAAAGTTCACGATGACGTATGAATTTAGAAACTTCGAGAGAATATTATATATAGCAGTAATCAGCACGTGACAATTTGTGATATGCAGGGATATCATATTTTTCTACCTGCTTTAGTGATATATAGATTTTTAAATGTTTTGATTATTTAGTAGCTATGCCATTATGGCGGCAACACGTGGTTTAGAAAGTCGTTAAAATTACCTTGTTCTAGTTCTTTGCAGTAAATAATGTCTATTCTCCCCGAGAGGATATTTCAGACACATTATATTTTGAGGTATCATACAGACAAGAACCCAGTTTGTCAGTTCCAAAATCCAGAGTTATACCACACGCCCCGTGACAAGGGTTCAGTTTGACTGGATTCTATTAAAAACAACCCATAGTATTTTGTTTTCTCTCATCCAACAACCTCACCCCCTGTGGCTTAGCAGTAAGTCTGAAGACTTGTAACATTAAAAACCGAGTGGGAGTTCATTAGCTTATACTTCTCATTTTTGTGTTATATACATTATCGGAAACTTTTTGAAAATGTAAGTACATCAGATCCACATTCTATCCTTTATCCTGATAACACATGTTGTAGTAAAAAAATAACGGATTAGTATGGCAAGATTTCACTTTGGTGAATCCATCACGGCATCAGTGATATCATATTCCAATATATGATTTTGTAATGTTACTTTATCTGACTGTATAGAATTTTCTCTGCTACCAGAGTAAGACTAATTGGCCTATAGTATTCTTACCACCCGTTAAAATTAAGACTAGTTCTTTCTTCTTATGTTTGAAATATATTTGTCCAACGTTAAATACCAGATATTGGGTATGTTACGGATATAGTAAGCATTATATAGTACTTGAGGTAACTCCAAAAATCAATGAATAGACTTAACTTTTATACTGTTGTAACTGTTTCTGTATTGGTTCATTTCGAATAGACCTTCCAGGGGCAGCTTACTGGGACTGCAGTTACCCCAAAATGTGCCTTAACTTCCCCTATATCTTCACATCCAATAAACAACGCTTTCTATGAAAGTTGGTTCACTTTCCAAATACTACAACATGTGCGACACCCCCCCCCCAAAAAAAAAATAGAATGCATCCCCTTCGATTTTGTTTTTGTTTAGTCGCTTAAGATAACAATGAACATGGTGATAGTTTTTAGGTGGGACAACTCGAATAACTAAGCGTCCTTTATCTCAATACCATCGATTTGCGAGGATTTGAATGTACCTAACGGAAAAAAATGACGAAGAAGAAAAATGCCCTATGTAACAGGTGACCGATGAAAACTGCAGTTTTGCTCGATCACAGTATGTGTTGTCGGTTTCCAGTATTACTGTTCAGTTTAAAGAAAGAAAACACGGGTTTAATTTCGACGACAAGTAACTGTAGGACTTTTAAAACTTGCACGTCAAAAATTGTTTCTAGGTGAATAGATAGACTTATAGTAGTAGAGTGGTATGCATAAATCAGTATAATGATAATACATAATAAATTACATGTGTTATCTGTAAATATATATTGTTACGTCTCCGTTTGTTAATTAACTTTCCGTAACTTC